CACAGAAGTCAGATTTAAAATAATTGAAGCAGAAGAGGCTCCTCATCATGATCTGTGATTTATTCAAAGTTTGCGTGTTTCCAGAGTGTCAGACTTTTTCTGATGCGCAAATTCAAATTCCGAAACATGATGCTCCATGAAAACGCAGTTTATAATGTTGCCAGAGTGGGAACATGTTTATTGTTGTCCAAATCTTGAATTGCATGCATGTTTTGCCGTGTTGTGACGAAGGTTGAAATGAGCGCACACATTTACACCACCTATTGACTTGGTGTAAATTCTGTGCGTACCGTACGCCCAGGTCCAGATTGATGAATGCGGAAAAGTAAATTTTTTGCGTACGCATCATTTACACCCTGATTTGGCCGTACGCAACTTTCATACATGAGGCCCACTGACACCAAGCATTTTTGCTTTATACCATGTAATGTGTTTTTCAGCCTCCTCGATAGGAAGCAATCCCAGTAAAGTGTTTTGAACATCTTGAACCTCACTACACACACTTTTATATTTGTCAAATGTACATTTCACTTCAGTTTCACAATCTCTGTCAGTCATGAGTTCCGCGATAACAGCCCTTATTCTCCCAGCTTTATTGAATATAGTTTTTTCTGGACTTTTGCAGATTTTTTATTTTGTCCATTAACACTAGGAGCGCCCCTAGCGGTCAACTGACCGTCACTCACTTTAATATGCTAATTAGTGTATTCAAAACAAAACGCCAGAAGTTGAAATTTTATGACTTTTACTGGGTACTTGTTGTTTATATTTTGGTGTGTTTTGGTTTTGGAAAAAGTAAAGAAAACAAGATTTACACGCATTTTAACTTTTCTAAACCACATTTCAGGCTTAAAACATAAAGATATAAAAATTATATTTTTTGTCAAGAATCAACAACAAGTGGGACACAATCGTGAAGTGGAACAAAATTTATTGGATAATTTAAACTTTTTTAACAAATAAAAAACTGAAAAGTGGGGCGTGCAATATTATTCGGCCCCCTTGCGCTAATACTTTGTAGAGCCACCTTTTTCTGCAATTACAGCTGCAAGTCGCTTGGGTCATGTCTCTATCAGTTTTGCACATTGAGAGACTGGAATTCTTTCCCATTCTTCCTTGCAAAACAGCTCGAGCTCAGTGAGGTTGGATGGAGAGCGTTTGTGAACAGCAGTCTTCAGCTCTTTCCACAGATTCTTGATTGGATTCAGGTCTGGACTTTGACTTGGCCATTCTAACACCTGGATACGTCTATTTGTGAACCATTCCATTGTAGATTTGACTTTATGTTTTGGATCATTGTCCTGTTGGAAGATAAATCTCCGTCCCAGTCTCAGGTCTTTTGCAGACTCCAACAGGTTTTCTTCCAGAATGGTCCTGTATTTGGCTCCATCCATCTTCCCATCAATTTTAGCCATCTTCCCTGTCCCTGCTGAAGAAAAGCAGCAGCAAACCATGATGCTGCCACCACCATTTTTGACAGTGGGGATGGTGTGTTCAGGGTGATGAGCTGTGTTGCTTTTACGCCAAACATATCGTTTTGCATTGTGGTCAAAAAGTTCGATTTTGGTTTCATCTGACCAGAGCACCTTCTTCCACATGTTTGGTGTGTCTCCCAGGTGGCTTGTGGCAAACTTTAAATGAGACTTTTATGGATATCTTTGAGAAATGGCTTTCTTCTTGCCACTCTTCCATAGAGGCCAGATTTGTGCAGTGCACGACTGATTGTTGTCCTATGGACAGACTCTCCCACCTCACCTGTAGTTATCTGCAGTTCATCCAGAGTGATCATGGGCCTCTTGGCTGCATCTCTGATCAGTCTTCTCCTTGTTTGAGATGAAAGTTTGGAGGGACGGCCAGGTCTTGGTAGATTTGCAGTGGTCTGATACTCCTTCCATTTCAATATAATTGTTTGCACAGTGCTCCTTGAGATGTTTACAGTAAAGCTTGGGAAATCTTTTTGTATCCAAATCCAGCTTTAAACTTCTCCACAACAGTATCTCGGACCTGCTTGGTGTGATCCTTTGTCTTCATGGTTCTCTCTGCGCTTTAAACAGAACCCTGAGACTATCAAAGAGCAGGTGCATTTATACGGAGACTTGATTACACACAGGTGCATTCTATTTATCATCATCAGTCATTTAGGACAACATTGGATCATTCAAAGATCCTCACTGAACTTCTGGAGTGAGTTTGCTCCACTGAAAGTAAAGGGGCCGAATAATATTGCACGCCCCACTTTTCAGTTTTTTATTTGTTTAAAAAGTTTAAATTATCCAATAAATTTCGTTCCACTTCACGATTGTGTCCCACTTGTTGTTGATTCATGACAAAAAAATTAAAATCTTATATCTTTATGTTTGAAGCCTGAAATGTGGCGAAATGTTGAAAGGTTCAAGGGGGCCGAATACTTTCGCAAGGCACTGTATATATAGATTTCACATCGACGATGGTAGCCTAGCTGATGATCTTGTGTCAATACGAATACTATTATTATTATCTAGATAATATTTCCCACGGTGACTTCGGCTGGAAAGAGAAAACAGTCTGGAGATGACGTCAGAAGTAGACGCATATAGCAGCGCGAAGACGTTATGGTCCCGTGCTTTTCTAAACTATCATTTATATTGTTTGAATTTACATATTGTTACTGAGTCAATTTAACATATAGTGACCAACCTTTTAGGTGTTTGCAAAGTTACAAAATAAATCTAGCCTGAAAAGTCATAGTAATTTTGATGGATCAGTACACGCACAATGTGTCGTCTTGTGCCGTTTTTCCACAGTTTGAGTAGGGTACGTTTTGACTCTACACGGCGCGCCATGGCCCAGTTCGCGTGCTTTTCCATCAAAAATAGTACCCCCTAGTATGTCCTCAGCGTTGTCAGACCACGTCATTTACGTGTGACGCGTAACTAGTACTGGTGCGGTGCATGGATTTATTATAATACCAGAGCAAGTGTTTAATAGAAAGTTCAGCACAGCACGAGTAGTTTTTTAAATGCTTATGTCTTAAAATAATGACTCAGACACTGTGAAGTCAATGGTGCTGACTGCTCTGTACAATCTGAAGGGGACATACCTGTAGCAACAGCAGCCTGTGCAGCAGAGGAGGAGGGCTGCATGTCCGAGGATACGGCCTGGGTATAGCTAATGCTAGCGCTAGCTCGAGACTCTGCTCACTCACTAACCCTGGATTCCAAAGCTACAACTGTACTACACTTAACACATCTATCACTACCCTCAGGGGAGGATCCGGTGTTTAAACTCGTCATATGGCAACTCGAGCAGTAAAGGACCGAGGGAGAGACGGCGGCAACCATAGGGGTAGCAAGTTAGCTGCTAGGCTAGGCTAAGCTAGGCTAGGCTAGTCCGGACTACAGCAGACTCCGAGACACAGTCTTGGGATACAATTGTGGTAGAATGTTTGACTATTATTATTATTTCTTAAGTGCAGTGGAATGTTCTCTTGAGCTGTGTTTAGATAAGCGCTAGGTCATGATGACCTGAACACTGTTGACCGGTAAAGAATTCTGTTTGGGAATAAGTGATTAGGAAACATCTGGTTTCCTTTTAGTTATCCGGCCACTGCCAAGACTTCCATGTATGGAAGTCTGACCACGAGTATTAAAACACAGGAAACAGGACAGGACTTTCAGTCTTGTGCACAGACTCCATGCTGACTGACGGTTTCCGGGACGGGATTCGTAGCTAGCCAGATATTTCCAGGATTACCACAGACTAGTCACTAAAAACTGTGAAAACTGTGTTGAGCCTCGAGCTGCCTTTGAATTCTTTCTTTTGGCCTGAAGAGAGGAACGTGTGGACCTCTTCCACCGACCAAGACTAGGACTTTTGGGGCTTTCTGTGCAATTCCATTTCTCTGGAGTGAGGAGGACGTAATGTAGCAGAAGCAGAGCCGAGCAGAGCAGCCTGTTTTAAAGATGGCGGTTGAGTTGTTTTTCCCAAAGGGTCAGATGTCACTTCCAGTGACGACACTCGTTGACCAATCAGTGTAAGGCAGTGGGCCGACGTGATGTCATGGCACGGGTACTATGGGGATGGAACCACGGCTGAGGTAGTACGGAAAAGTACGCAAATCTCCCATACCATCCACTAGTGGAAACGCAAAATAACCGTGCTGAAGCGTACTGTACTGTACCGTACTGATACTGTGGAAAAGCGGCATTAGTCTTTTATTTCGGCTAGAATTACAATTACTTAGCATATTTAGACAAATAATTTACACAGTTTCATTATGATCACGATTTCCTTGCAACATCAAGTTCTGGTTTAGTGAACAATCAATTTGGCAAAAGGCTGTATCAGCGCAAAATACATAGCGGTCAACTGACCGCAGGGGGCGATGCAAGGTATGTTTAGAGCATGGCGGTCCTAGTGTTAAAGCCTTTTCTATAAGTTTTCTGTCTCGCTTTGAGTCTGTGCATAACACTGCGCCCGCATTAGATTCGCAATGTACTGTAACGTCCTGGCTCGAGGTAATGAATGAGACAGTGTTCTACTTGTTGCTTTAATACAAGATGGTTACTGTCGGCCGTAACCACAACAATACAAGTCCACAACTTAGCAGAACAACAGCCCGGGTAAAAAGACAGCGTTATATCAAAACAATCTTCTCTAACCCCCCCAGTAGGCCCGCCCCTTCATCCTCAGAACCAATCCTGTAAGTGCGCTAAACTGTGAAGAATAACATGAAATAACAGCATTAACATAACATAAATGCAGGGTCGCTACACTGCCCCCTCCCCACTAAGTCCCTCGCCCCGAGGGATCACATAGAAAGTCTCTAAGGTGACTGGGGGCCCTTATCTCCCTACGGGGTCTTTTTGGGGTGACTGCTAACCTGGGAACAACATGCTTCGGAGCAGGGGGCATCTGTGTGTCAGTTGATGGGGAAACAGTCAATGTCTGGGGTCCGACTGTTTTGTCTCTCTGAGTGGATACAGGGCGTGACTGGGGATGTGCGTCACCCATGTATGGGGCTAACCTATCTCTGTGAAGGGCCACCCGTCTACCCCTAGGTGGGAGCTGCTTAGGTCCAGCTTAGGGCACCTTCCTTTTTTTCTCTTAGGGCTGAACACCCACACGAGGTCCTCAGGGTTAAAGTCTCTTCCTTTGGCCCTCATGTTGTAGTTTATTTTCTGCCAGATCCCAGCCTTTTGCAGCCGGTCACGAGCAAACGCATGAGCTGTCTCCATCCGGTCCTGTAGCCTCCGAGCGTATTCCGGTCCTGGTGGGACAGCAGGGGTGTGTGGGGGTCTGCCAAAGCACATTTCTCTGGGTGTCCGCAGCTCTCGCCCCAACATGAGAAGAGCAGGTGTGCATGCTGTGGACTCCTGAACCGAAGACCTGTAGGCAAGCAGGACAAGGGGGAGGTGCATATCCCAATCCCGCTGGTGTTCTGCAGTGATGATCGCCAGTTGTTTTGCGAGTGTTCTGTTGAAACGCTCAACTAGCCCATCGCTCTGAGGGTGTAGTGGGGTAGTACGTGTCTTTTGCGGTCCCATACGCTGACAAATTGCAGACTCAAAGTTTCTCCCCTGGTCGCTGTGGATAACTTCAAGTGCCCCAAACCTGGAAAACATTCCCTCCACCAGGGTGTCTGCCACCGTCACCGCTTCCTGATTCGGGATGACAAATGCCACTGGCCATTTAGTGAAATAGTCCATGGCAGCGAGTACATAACGATTCCCCTGGTCTGACAGCCAGGGGAATCGTCCACAGCCACTCTTTCCATAGGGGCCCCCACGGCCAACTGCTGAAGCTCGGCACGGGATTCACCTAGAGGGCCCTTATAAGCAGCGCACAGGTCGCAACGACGACAAAAGGTCTCTACATCCCTCCTGAGCTGGCCCCAGTAAAACCCTTGCCTGAGTCGTCTGAGAGTTTTTGAGACTCCAAAGTGTCCCGCCCCAGGAGTTCCGTGACAAGCCTTCAGAACTGGGTCTTTGAGTGCTCTGGGGACTACAGTTTGCCACCTTTCCTCCCCTGTAGCTGGTTCTTTCCACGCTCTTTGAAGTACTCTGTCTTTTATACGGAGGGTTGTAAACTTTTCAAAAAGTCCTTTGGTGGCCAGCGAAAACCCAGCTACCTCACTCCACTGTGGTCTCTGTCCCGATTCAACCCACTGCAGCACAGGTTGCAGATCGGGATCCAGTTCCTGCTGAGCTCTCCACTCCAGTGGATCATGGAGCTCCGCCACTTCACAGATTGGCCCTTCCCCGCTGCACAAGGGACCCGCCTGCTCCTCAACACGGAGCTCCTGTTCCTTGGCCTCTCGTTTTTCACAATAGCGGCAGCCATCCAGAGCACATGGACGTCTGGACATGGCATCCTCGTTGGCATGGCGACTCCCAGCCCTGTACTCCACTTTGAAATTATATGGTGCAAGTTCTTCCAACCAGCAGGCAATCTGCCCCTCTGGTTCTTTAAAGGACATTAACCATTGGAGTGCTGAGTGATCTGTTGTCACAGTAAAGGGGAGGCCACAGAGATAGTACCGGAAATGCCCTATCGCTCTCACAATAGCAAGCAACTCTCTAAGTGTCACGCAATAACGCCGCTCCGCCTTGTTGAAAGTTTTGCTACTTTCTCCCCGTGTGATCCCACCTGGCTCAACACTGCACCCATCCCCGCATCGCTGGCATCTGTGTCCATGACAAATGGCAGATTGGTATCTGGGGGGTTTAAGATGGGAGACTCCGTCAGTGCCTTTTTCAAAGTGCAAAAGGCCCGGTCGCACTCTGGGGTCCACACAAAGTCACAATTTTTCCGCTGTAGGGCAAACAGGGGTGCAGCGATGCAAGAGAAACCGCGCACGAATCGCCTGTAATATGAGGCTAGTCCAATGAAACTTTTCAGTTCTCTGAGGTTAGTGGGGATTGGCCAGTCCCTCACAACCTGTACCTTTTCCTCCAAAGTGCTGATGCCTTCTCCACCAACCTTGTGCCCTAAAAACTCCAATTCCCTTCTCATGAAGCAGCATTTGTTGGGATGGAGTTTCAGCCCGGCCTCCGCGATACCTTGCAGCACCTGCCGGAGAGAATCGAAAGCCCTCTCAAAAGAGCCGCCATGGGCCAGAATGTCGTCCAAGTAAACGAGACATTACTGACGGGGGACAGCAGCTAGCACTTTTTCCATCAGCCTTTCAAAAGTGTCCGGGGCATTGCATAGCCCGAAGGGGAGGACCCTAAACTGCCACAATCCCCTGCTGGTGCAGAAAGCGGTCTTGGGTCTTGCATCGGGGCTCAGGGGGACCTGCCAGTATCCACTGCGCAGGTGTAATGATGAGAACCAGGAAGAGCCAGATACCATGTCCAAGGACTCATCAATACGTGGTAGCGGGTACGAGTCTTTCTTTGTTATGCTATTCAGCGGTCGATAGTCCACACAAAAACGCATTTTTTGATCATTTTTCTTGTTAACCATCACAACCCCCGAAGCCCAGGGACTATCTGACGGCTCGATAATACCAGCCGCGAGCATTTTGTCAATTGCGCTATCAGCAGCCGCTTGATGCGCCAGAGGGAGTCGGCGGGGGCGCGTTTTGATCGGGTGCGCATCTCCAGTGTCTATTTCGTGCTGCACCAAGTGTGTTAGACCCACCTCCTCTTCAGAAAGGGCAAAGATGTCTTTGTACTGCAGTAGCACTTGCCATAAAGCTTCCCGCTGACTGGTTTCCAAAGTGGTGCAGTTACGTTCCCAAATCTCTTTTACGGCCGCGACCCTGTCCATTTCTCTTACTGCAGGTAATTGTTCCAGTGCAGGAGGTAGAGCTGCCATTGCATGTTGCGGGTTGGTGGGTACTGGAGCAGAAAGATGGGGTAGTGGCACGTATTTCTGGTGCACCTGTGCTGCTTTAGACGCTGCTTTACTTTGGACATGTTCAGGGGGCACCATTTCAACTGAGGGGCTTCCCGGAAATGTCACAGTGTTATTGCCAAGATCGAGCACACAGTGAGCGGCCCTCAAAAAGTCAAGACCCAAAATACAGGGGTCCTTCACTGCAGCGACCCACACCCTAAAATCCACAGACATTTCCCCCACTTGTATAGTCACTAATCCCCGATCAAGCATAGGAGCGAGTTCACCAGTGACAGTCCGCAACTTTACAACAGTAGGTTCTAGTAATGTCCCAGGTGGCACCATGTCGGATCTCATTAGTGTTGCAGTGGAACCCGTGTCAACCAGGGCTGTGCATGGGGCCCTGTTCAAAGTAACAGGAACATGACCAAAATTCCCGAAGTGCGTCCAGCCCACCACCCTCGAAGATTCGATGTCGCTGTCATCTGCTTCTGTGGGGAGTGGAGCCCCGCTCCCCCGACTGCGTTGTTGGGCCCCGTACACATGTGAAACGATAGGGTGGGACACAGGGGCGGGGGACTGTGTGGTCCCTTTTACACAGACCCCGGAGCGTTTCCCTGACCGCCCGAGTTCTGGGGGCACCGCACACTGATATGGCCTGCCTTGCCACACGTCCAGCACACTGGAGGGCCACGGCGTGGGCGGGCACCGCCGCGTTGTGGTTGTAACGTCACAGCTTGGATCAGTTCTGTCAGCTCAGCAACCCAGGCAGGCCTCTCTTGACCTGAATCCTCGCGCACTGCTGTCCTCACAATGGGGCCAATCTCAGACGCTGAACCTACGGCCTCTCTCTCTAGGGCGAGCTCCAGTGCCTCCTGCAGGAATCTAGGATGTGCCAGCTGTGTCTGTGCGCGAAGTTCTCTGAGAGCCAGGGCACGAATGAACTGGTCCCTGGCCAGCTCACTCTGTACTTCAGGGGGCATATGGGCGTAAGCTCGTCTTGTCAGGGTCTCAATATCGTTAGCCAACGCCCTGAGTGGCTCGCCTGTCAACCTCTGTTGGCTAGCCAGCTCTGAGCGCAGGACATCGGGTTGGCTACATTGTCCAAAACGCCTCCGGAGGGCCCCAACCAAAGCCCCATAATCATCTCTCTCAGCTGGGCTTAACAGCAATAAGCATGACAGTGCATCATCAGTAAGGCACAGAGCCAGCTGGAGTGCTTTTACTTTTACAGACCAGCCAGCTGCCCCAGCCAGGAGTTCAAATTGGGCATAGAAGGCCTCCCAGTCTGCTTTCCCTGAATATTTCGGAGTCTTAACTTGCAGTCGTTCCCTGCCGCCATTTTCGTCTGAATTTGGTGACCTGTCAATCATGGCGGACGGGGCTTGTCCTCTGGCGCTCCCGCCGCTGAAACCCGTCTTATATGAGCAGAATGCTCAGAACGACGACTTTGTTCCATATCGTGCCTTCGGGACTGGGTCTCAAAGTCACTGTCCATCACCTCCTTCTTGATTTTCGGGCGAGCACCGGACTTCCCTGATGGCATCAGCATATCAAACGGGCGGACGAGCAGACCCCGACACAAGCTAGGAGCGATCACCGGGCTTCGGAGACGAACTCGGGCTTTTACTTCTGACACCAGTGTAACGTCCTGGCTCGAGGTAATGAATGAGACAGTGTTCTACTCGTTGCTTTAATACAAGATGGTTACTGTCGGCCGTAACCACGCCAATACAAGTCCACAACTTGGTAGAACAACAGCCCGTTCGCAGTCCCGGGTAAAAAGACCGCGTTATATCAAAACAATCTTCTCTAACCCCCCCCAGTAGGCCCGCCCCTCCATCCTCTGAACCAATCCTGTAAGTGCACTAAACCGTGAAGAATAACAATAACAGCATTAACAAACATAAATGCAGGGTCGCTACAGTACATTTTCTTGTGCCACAGGCCTCTTCATTGAGACTGTGCACTGGCGGCTGCGCTGAATTTGTGACATCATTTTGCACATTTTCCATTGTTCTTTTATTTTATTTTTTATAAGTGTTGTATATGATTACTCACGAGTCACGACTTTGCAGTAAAGGCGACGTGGATTTGTTCCTTCTTCTTGTGTGAGTGTGTGTGGCTGACACTGACCTGCTCGCTGACGTTTCATTCACAGTTTATTGACTTGTTTCAAGGGCAGAGGATCCAAACTTTTCTTGACCCATAGCAAATCCATTTCTTCCTCAAACAGCTGTCCTGATCGCTGACTCCTCTTTCATAGAGCGATTTTTTGACTTGTGTACTGACCATTTGTGACTGGGAGGGAGAATTGACGCGCTAAACTTGAGCCTTTCATTATATACGCTTTATTGATGTACAAAAAAGAGGAACAAGATTACTGTGCTCAAAGAGCAGATGAAAGCGGTCAAAAACTGTGTGCTCGCCCAGTCACTCACGCACCTGCACTGGAGAGCCCACCCATTTAACACATCCACAACCACACACCCATGCCACACCCACTATGACGCAACATTCATTCAAAATTGGACATCAGTTTCACCTCACCACACGCAAATAGTCACGTGCTGAGCGTGTATTTGATATGAACATGAGATCTATTGAGAAACGGGAATACGTTTTATGTGCAGCAAAACAAAGAATGTTTATTATACGTATATTATGTCTGTAAAAATATATATATATTTAATCACCACAATAGTTATTGCGATGGAATTTGCAAAGTTGTCGATTCAACAACACAGATCAGAGAATCAACAAATACAATAATATAAAAATGTTTCTAAACGTATTTCTTGCCGCCTAAAAAAAATCCATTATTTGTTGGAGAGGTAAATGTTGTTTTATTCACTATTAAAGATTTAAATACAATTACATTGTACATTTATGTTATAATGTAATGAGATGCTATCCGATATTATTATAGATCTATATGGATACTATTCATAATTTGACCCATACAGGCGACACGTTGATATTAAATTAAAACTCACGACCCTGTAGGAGCTTGAGGAGCTCTTCAGTGGAGACTGAGGCACCTTTAGTGCTGGAGGGCCTTTGTCCACACCGCTGTGTGAAGTCTGTAAAATGCACTATATAAATAAGGATGATTACCTACTTACTTACTTGCTTATACCGCTGTCACACTGAACATTAAGTCACTTAAAATCATCAATGATTTATTGACAAGCGAATTGAAGATGAAACGACAGATATAAAGACGTATTAGTATTAGATAGCAATAAGGCCTACGTGCAGGACTGTACAAGGACTCTACAAGGACTCCATGTTATGACTATGATTTGACTGTCTCTTTGTGACACGTATGTCTTTCGATGTGTGACGTGACAATGACTATATAAACTGTGTACTGCCTTTATTCTGTCTGAGAGAAAGAAACAGAGTAAACCAGTGGAACTTGTGAGCAACGTAAATAAACTTCCAGAGTTTGGCACACCACGATCCGTCTCTGTCTGCTAAATCCTAACAGATTTGGTGGAGAATGCGCGGCTCAGTGTGTGCCATTCTCTGGATTGTTTTGAGGGAGTTTTCCCTGTTTCTTTTTTTCGGCGTGTGGGAGCAACAGCACGTTATCTGGAAGGGGAGAAATCCCAGCGGACGCTGAAAGGGCTCGCTTTTGGATGGGCTTGCTCTTGCTCCCTCACTTTCTCTGTTTTGTGTTTAAATTGAATTTTCCGACGCGGAAAAGAGTTGGCAGACCTCTCGGACAGTCCTTGGAACCGGTTTGACAAGAATAAGGTAAGCAGACACCTTTTTATATGTAAAGTCTGCATAATTGGATATTAGCTAAATTTTGGTATGTTTTTTGGGGTCTGTCAAACTCTCTAAATTGTATTTTGAAGAAGTCTCGGGGTTAAAGTCCCTTTGAGCCTCGGGGTTAAAGTCCCTTTGAGAAAGTCTCGGGGTTAAAGTCCCTTTGAGCCTCGGGGTTAAAGTCCCTTTGAGAAAGTCTCGGGGGTTAAAGTCCCTTTGAGCCTCGGGGTTAAAGTCCCTTTGAGAAAGTCTCGGGGTTAAAGTCCCTTTGAGAAAAGCCTCGGGGTTAAAGTCCCTTTGAGAAGAAGCTTCAGGGTTAAAGTCCCTTTGAGAGAAACCATGGTGAATTAAAAGTAATTATAAAAAGGGAAACGTTAAACACTAAAGAGTGCCTTTTGTTACTAGTGTGGAAAGTGATCACTTCTAGATTTGGATGACAAAAGTATAAAAAACAACATCAGTTATATTCGCTTAACAAAGTAATCTTGAAAGTTATTCTTCTGTATCTTTTTGCCTGTGTGTGCACATCTCTAGCTGCTGCCGTTGTCAGGGAAACGGCCCCCTCCTTCGCTGCTCTGGCTGTGAATCTGAAGCAAAGCTACTGCTTTAGGAATTTGGCTTTTCATAGTAGTTATTCCGTTAAATTTGCTAAATTTGCCATTTGAACATTGTGTTAGACAGTTAAACGTTTTTAAACACCATTAGGGAATAGAAGTTTTGAATTAGTATGTTTTTGAAACCCAAAGATTAGTACAAAAAGCTTTGCTTTTCTTTTTAAATCTGCTGCTTATTTTGTGAGTCCATTATTGTATCTCTGATATATTTCATAGCTGTTTGTGAGAATTTTTTCATGTATTTTTTATTTTAGTTACAAAAGCCGTTTTTCAAACATTTAAATTAGAATCTGTTAAAAGTGATTAATGATTGTAGACTTCGTCTAAAAAAGAAAGAGAGAATTAGGCTGTAAAAGTATTATATTATTAAGTTAAACTACCCAATTCACCCAATTCACATTCAAGCGGTGACTTTTGTTTTTGTTTTGACTACACGCGTGACCTTGCTGCTGCTCAGAGACATGAGGAGGCAGCTCCGACGCACAATTGAGTTTTATTGAACCAAATCCAGTTTAGCTGGAGCTAAATCTTTTGTTTGATTTCAAGTTTTGTTTTAAATGTTTTTACAAATTAATGTTCATTTTTATAGAGATTTTTCATAATTTCATTTCATGGCGTCTTTCAAGAAACCCAAGGACGCATAGATAATTAATCACACAGTACAAAAGTATATATAATACATGTTTTAAAGTTTAAAAGGTTGTTTGTTTTGAGTATAATTGTTGTTTTGATAACTTCTTTAGTTTCTGGTTTTAAAATGTCATCATTAGTAAGAGAATAAGTAATCTTTATTTACATAGCGCTTGGGAAAACCCAGAGCGCTCAAATTGTTTTGACTTCAGAGAGAAAAACAATCTCATTCGCATACTGATATCTATTGTTTTTTTAAATTGGCTGTTTCAAGGATTGTTTTTCAGACTCTGGCACACTGTGGGAGGGGTCACTGCTGGACACTGGACAGCGCAAAGCCCACCCAGCCACAGGTCACAGATCAAAGAGCAAAGGAAAATGCCACCTCCTTGCCCCTCCCCACGCCACTCCAGAGATGAGTGGGTGTGAGAGAGACCGGGGCCATGAAAGAGAGGTATCTGGAGACGTGATGGGTGGAGCGTCAGGTAGAGACCTAGAGGGAGTTGAAAGTGTGTCCAGTTGGTTTACATCACCACAGTGTGACCTTTGAGACCTACAGGTGGTTCGTGGAGTCTGGAGAGACAACCCCAAAATTCATACACACACACACACACACACACATACACACTCATACACTCACACATTCACATTTACATATAGATACATGAAAAAGTAGAACACGAAAAAAAGCATTAAAAGTTTACTCCAATGTAAACACATTTTTAATTGTCTATCACTTGAATCTTTATTTGAATCAGTATTTTTTGAGACCAGAAATGTTCATTTGAATTCTATATTGTCATGGACTTAATTGACCTCTGTCCTGACACTTTTGATTTGTTGATTTTGTACTGTGTGAAGTAATTACATTGATTAGAATTAGATCTGATAAAAACACAAATTAGAGAAGTAAACTGAAATTGCGCTTGCTTTTTGTCTGAGGGACATTAGCAACAGCATGAATAGAAATTGTGTTGAAGTAGAATCAAAGTGACTTAACCATAGAGAGTAACTATTGCATAACAAGCTGTGTACAGGAACTGAGACACTGCACCATTGACCAGAAGTGCATCGCAAATGACCTGATGTGCTTCAAGTGAAAAGACTGTATCTGGAGATCTGATGTCCAACTGGAGAGACCAAAACTATGGCTTGGACCCTACTGATGTCCAAGATGACCTGACCTGATGACGACTGAGACTCACCCTCAGGGGACCCTGAGGACCTGAGGATCTGAGAGAGAGAAAACTGGGGAGTGATGTTTATATTTTTGAAATCATACATTGATGAGTGCTAAATGAGAGAGATACTCATGATTCTTTCTTTTGTTTTTGTTTGTCCCTAGCTTCTGGACATCTGATGATCTATTGGACACAGCCATTTGCAGAACAAGAACCAGCCAATGAAAACGTCTATTGCCGATGCTATTGCTACAACCAGAACCTGTGACCAAATGCAATATAAATGTTAAGTATTCAGACATCTGACAGACAAAAACTTTGAAAATGATAAAGTATGATTATTG